GAGGTGGGGGTGGAGGGGATGGATAGATGGGGGGATGGATGTGGATAGATACTTGGATAGAGAGGCGTGGGGGGATGGATGGATTTTTGGGGTTGGATGGATAAATGGATAGAGAAGTGCGTATGGGGATAGGTGAGATGGTCATGTACGTGGCTGGATGGGTAGGAAGATGGATGGACGAAGGCGTATCATGCCTTCTTTTCCGTCTCGTCTCTAAGACACACAGTCCCCAATTGGTCCCACCTCTCTCCAGACAGAACCCCCCGTGTGTCTTGGGTCGCCAGGGAGCATGAGCGGAACTGTCCCCAGTTCAATGTCTTTCTCCTCCTGTCCCCAGACTCTCGTGCATGGGCTGAGGAGCAGGACGCTCCCATGACGGTGTCAGTGTGTGGCCGGCGTTCTCTGGCGGCCCTTGTACTCAACACCCCCTTGCTTGTTCCTCAGGTCATGGGCCCAGATGTCAGCCCGAGGAGGACAACAGAGCTGCTGAGATGGCTCCACCAATCCGGGAAGTTCCCGGAAATGCCCAAGAGAGAGGCCTGGCCTCCGTGTCATTGACCGGCCCCAAGACGGAGGAGGAGGAAGTCCTCAAGATGGCGTGTCTCAGAGGGGATGTTGTTGTGGAGACCACCAGGGGGCAGGCAGTATGGATGACCGTGGCCAACATGTTGACTCCCAATATGGACATTCCTGGAAAGGGCCAATGGGGACGTTCAGCCTCCGTCTCACCGACTGTCCCTAAGGTCGAAGAGGAGGAGGAGACTGCCAAGATGGAGCCTCTCAACGGGGATGTTGCTGTGAAGGCACAAGGGGGATGTTCACCATGGATGACTATGGCCAAGATGATGCCTCCAAACATGGATGTTCCTGGTGTGGGCCAGCCGGAACGTGTAGCCTCAGATTCATTGCCTGTCCCTAAGACAGAGGAGGAGGCCGAAGACACCAGGATGCTGCCACCCGAAGGGTCTGTTTACACAAAGGCCCAAGAGGGACATGCAACATGGATGACCATGGCCAAGATGGAGCCTCTCAACGGGGATGTTGACGTGAAAGCCCGAGGGGAACCCTTGACCCTGATGCCTTTCCCTATCTCCAAGGCCGAGGAGGATGAAGCCACCAAGCCGGTAACTCCCCCTGCTCCTGCTTGCCGGGAGCGCCCGTACCGCTGCGGCGAATGCGGCAAAGCCTTCTCCCGCAGCTCGTCCTGCGTCAAGCACCAACGCACCCACACGGGCGAGCGCCCCTATGGGTGCCCGGATTGTGGCAAGTCCTTCGGCCAGAGCTCCACCCTCAACCGGCACCGCCAGGCCCACCTGGCCGACAGGCCGCACCGCTGCACTGACTGCGGCAAGGCCTACGGGACCGCCTCGGCCCTGGCCCAGCACGGCAAGAGTCACCTGGCCGAGAAGCCCCACCGGTGCCCGCAGTGCGGCAAAGGGTTCAGTGAGCGGTCGAACCTGGCGAAGCACCAGCTGACCCACACAGGCGAGCGGCCCCACCGGTGCGCCCAGTGCGGCCGCGGCTTCAGCCAGAAGGCCAATCTCCGGCGTCACCAAGAGACTCACCGCGGCGCTGAGCTGCACCGGTGCGCCGACTGCGGGCGGGCCTTTCGCCACGCCCGGCGGCTGGCTCAGCACCGCCGGGCCTGCCACGCACCCGGCGAGCCCCACTCCTGTGCCGACTGTGGCCAAACCTTCGCCGCCCGCTCCCAGCTGGCCCGGCACCGGCGTGGGCACACGGACGAGCGCCCCTACCGCTGCGGCGTTTGCGGCAAGGCCTACGGCGTCAGCTCCCACCTGCTGGTGCACCTGCGCGGGCACACAGAGGAGCGGCCGTACCGCTGTGCCGAGTGTGGGGCCGGCTTCGCCGAGGCCGCCAAGCTGGCCCAGCACCGGCGCAGCCACACCGAGGAGAGGCCCCACCAGTGCGCTCAGTGTGGGCGGCGCTTCGGCCTGCGCTCCAACCTGACGCGGCACCAGCGGGCCCATTCCGGCGAGAAGCCGCACCGCTGCAGCCAGTGCGGCAGGGCCTTCAGCCGCGGCTCCAACCTGGCCCAGCACCAGCGGACTCACCGTGGCGAGAAGCCGTACCGGTGCGGCCAGTGCGGCAAGGCCTTTGCCGTCAGCACCCACCTCCTCATCCACCAGCGCTCCCACACCGGGGAGAGGCCCTTCCCCTGCCCTCACTGCGGCAAAGGCTTCACCGTCAGCTCCAACCTCCGGCAGCACCTGCGGATCCACACCGGGGAGCGCCCGTACCCCTGTGCCGAGTGCGGGAAGAGCTTCCGGGCTCGGACTCACCTCCGGGCCCACCAGAAACTCCACGCATGAGCGGGTGGGGCGGGGCCGCAGGGGAGACGGCGGGTCTGTGGCTGGCCACGGCTATAGAGGGGGACAGCAGGAAGCGGTGGAGCTAGTTATGGGGTTAGTTGTAGCTTAGGGAGCATGGCTCTGTAGGGCCATGGGGAAGTATTGGGCGAGGGGTTATGGGTTTTCAGAGCCATGGGGGACCATGGAGGTTTCTTGGATCTTTAGGCTGAGAAGGGACGATGATGGGGGGTAGGTGGTAGCTTTGGTGGGGTTCATAGATGGAGTCTAACCTTGACGCACCTGAGTATGAGCCACAGAGGCTCTCGGCACCGATGGCAGATGACACGGCCAGAAGGGACCATCGTGATCTGACTTACGGAGCAGAGAACCTCGCCCTGTGATTCCCACATCCAGTCCATGGCGGGTGGTCGAGCTCGAGCGAGACGCCGGGTTGTCGTTTAAGGACTCCGAGCGGCAGAGACTCCACCAGCACCCGTGGCAATCGGCTCCATCGGTTAATTAGGAGGCTGGGTTAAAAATATGGGTGGTGGTTCTAGTTTGAGGCAGGGGGAGGACTTCTGGGTTCTCTCCCCGGCTCTGAGAGGGGAGTGGGGACTAGTGGGTTAGAACAGAGGGGGCTGGGAGCCAGAACTCCTGGGTTCTCTCCCCAGCTCTGGCAGGGGAGTGGGGGCTGGTGGGTTAGAGCAGTGGGAGCTGGGAACCAGGACTCCTGGGTTCTCTCCCCAGCTCTGGGAGGGGAGTGGGGACTAATGGGTTAGAGCAGAGGGGCTGGGAGCCAGAACTCCTGGG